ATATTTTAATATCATAATATTTTATCAATTATTTGTTGTAAATTCTTTTTCAACTTACATTAATTCATTATCAAATCTGTCAAATAAATAGGAATATCCAAATTAGTTTCACCTTTATCAAAGGTTTACTATTCTTTTTTTTTTTGAACAACCATAATTTATTGGCGGGTGCTTACTGTTGCGAATCAAAATGACTCTGTAAAGGTTTACGAGCTATTAGGGAGTTTTATTTGAAATTTAGACCCATTTACACTTTGTAAAAAAGTACTCAAACTTAGAGTTGTGCACCATATTGGTTACACATTCTATGGTGTCATTGAGGTGGTATAGTTGATTGCACGCCATAGATAACGTCTAGGCTTAGTTGAAGCATTTTAATAAATATCGATCATGTACATCATGTATCACTAGTTTACACTTTTGTCCCTATCTTATTTGTCTTTAATACATGTCTCTCATAATAATTATTTCTTCATGGTGTGTAAATTTATAATTTAGTATAATATCATAATGTTTCATCAATTATTTGTTGTTAATTGTTTTCCAACTTAGTTAATTCATTATCGAATCTGTCAACTTAGTTTCACTTTTATCAACAGTTTACTGTTTATTTCTTTTTTAACCCTAATTTATCAGCGAATTTCAAATACATCTTTCATAATTATATTCTAGCATGAATAGAAAAATTATCTATTAGAAAAATAAACCCTAACCTAAATTTATAAAGTTTTATTTCATGCCGTTCACCAGTTCTTAATGAGAAAAAAAAAGTCCATACAACACAAACATCCCATTTTAAACCTAATAAAAATTGACACTACTAAAAGTACTTTAGGATGAAATTTCCAGCATGATCGAACCTATTAATTGATCATCCCGAACAATAGATCTTAAATCTCTCATGAATGTTTCTTCCTCTACTGGTGTGCCATCCTGTGAATCATTTTTATAAAAACTCAAGATTAGAATAATATAATGGTCTTGAAATTAACTAGAATATTCACAACATGTATATATAATAAATTCTTAAATTAATAAATGCCTAGTGTTAAAAAAGGGAAATCCTAACTTACCCCATAGGACATACACAATTTTCTCAACTCCAGCCTTTGTGATATTGTAAGAAAATTATGTAGCTTGAATAATAATCTAGTCCATGTGTTATCAGCATGACCACCACAAGTTAGTCGACCTGTATATTGGCACTTGAGTCTCGACATTCAAAAGTAATTGTAAGTAATTATGAATAAAAAAAAAAGGAGCAATATTTACCTAAGTACATATGATGATGAATAGGTTTATAACTAATTATATATCGAGGTAGAATGTGGGTGTTCATATTGCCACACCACACCACATACACCTTTGGATTTGTTAAGTCATCAACTCCGGTGTCGAAATCCGCACTCGATGGAAACAATTGCTTAGATCCTAACTTAACCTTTTCCGAATTTCCTAATATAAATTGACATAAAACGATATGTTTTTCACCGTTTTCATCTATATCAGACATCATATCACTACACAAAGTTAAATAGAAAAAATAATTAATAAAAGGAATAATTAAGAAAAACACCAAAAAAATGAAGAACGTGTATGTACCTTATTTGAGGTGATAAGAAATGAGACAAGTATAAACCAACACCATGAGGATAAGAAGCAGGCATAATACTATTCATTTCAAACCCACGACGCATAAGACTATCGACATTTTTTGCTGATGTACCGTACCAACCAGAGCTATCAACTCTACGACCTCTTGCTCTCGTTACCTTCTTCACATTCTCTAGATAAACTTCAAATCGCGACTCTTCCACTGGAACTCTTCTCTTGCATAAATGAATTGCAGTGATTGTGACGCGATTTGTCATAATAGGAGGTAGTCCATCCTTTATCTTCTGATAGATGCGACCCTCTTCACTCAGCAACTTTGTCCCAGCCCACTTTGGTGGAACCAATTCATTAGGCTTAGCCATAAAAATCCGCGATAAACTGTCCGATTCATTAGAATTCTCCAACGATAGATTTTGTGATTCATCAACATTGTTGCTGCTTCCCATCATCGATGAGATTTTTTTTCAAATTTGTATAGAAATATACTTTTGACAAGATAAAAAAAGTTGTCTGTGACTCTATTTATACTAGTCTTGGTTGGCTAAGGAAATGAAAGTCTCCTTTTTCTATACTAATAAATAAATTAAAAGTCAATTTTTCTATTAGTTTATTAATGTTAATTGCTATTACACTTTTACCTATTTTGTCTTCGTTTAACTCTTTTATATAATAAGAAAAATACTGTTTCTATCCAAATTAAGTGAGTTTGTGAGTTTATACGTAGAGTATGTTTAAATTAACTTAAAAAAAGTAAGCTTTTAAATTAACAATAAAAAAACCAAACTAAAACTTTGAAAGTCAAAAAATAAAAATAGTAAGGGACACCTACTTTTGGTGTTTGAGTTATTTTAAATTATTTATTATATTTGTTAAATATTTATAGAAGACAGAAATTAAATTATAAGTAAATCTGACTAAAAGCTAAATTAAAAGTAGATTTAATCAAAAATTGAATTAAAAGTAGATTTGATAAAAAAAATTGAATTAAAGATAGATTTGACCTAAATCTAAATTAAAATAGATTTGACCAAAAACTAAATTAAAAGTAAATTTGACCAAAAACTGAATTAAAAATAAATTTGACCAATTTTTAAATCAATGTGAACATACATATAAAGGAAAAAAATTATGACATAAATTAAATAGCATTTTCCATTTCTATACTTTTGGTGATTGACAAACTATTTTAAAAGAGAAATAATTTAAAGAAAAAATCATGAATATGAGGAAGTAACTCTCTTGAATTTATTATCTGAAAAATGTATATGAAGGGCAAAAACAGAAAGAAGGAATCAATCATTTATATTAAACTTTAAAAAATTTACTTATTTAGAATTATGAAAAAATAAACTCCAAACCATCCTTTTAACATTATATGGAGAGGGAGTAGTTTTTTTGGATTATAAATTTTAATTTTTATATATTAAATTTCCCAAATTATATTCAAACATGACTTTCCTAAATATAAGTTTGATTAATTTATAATCAATTTATATAAGAACATAAATTTAAAACTAATTCATTTAGATTTTTAATTTATAATCAGTATATATAAGAACATAAATTAAAACCTAATTCGTTTAGATTTTCAAGTGTTTTTCTTTTTTTTTTACTTAATTTGAATTAAATATTATTTAATAGAGCTGAGTTGACAATTAAGTAATTGTATTTTATATTTTAATTACACTACGACAAAAATGATCATTAGCGACAATTAATTCTTAATTACCGTTAAATGTGTATTTTTAGCGGCAATTGATACTCTTTGTATATGTTCGTAAAGCCTTTAGCGACATTGGTTCTAATGACATTTAACTAATGTCGGCAGAGACTTTAGCGCTCTTTATAAATGTCAATATTTAATGCCGCTAAAAAATATTTTTGTTATAGTGTTATAGTCTTATCTTTTATGGAGATGGTTTTAAAAAATTTCAAAGTCTTTGAGGACAAGTATCACTAAAGAACAAAAAAATTGGTTCTTTTATTTCAAAGTTAATAAAATTTATGATTTTTTAAATATAGAAAATAACAAAAAATAATAATTAATTTAATATTCAAAGGCGTAAAAAATATGAGCTTATCACATAATTGTTGTAGCTTTCGATATTAGTATAATCCAAAAATAAAGGTCAAAAGTAATAGACAAAGTTAACATTTTTTACTAGACCAAATTTTTACCCTCATTATTTTTTGTTAACATCTTTTTATTTATTTTTTTTTTTATTAAAAATGTTAAAGAGAAGCAAAAGAAAAGAAATTTGAAAAATAATTCTTTTTTTGACAAAAAAAAAGTAAGGACTTAATGAAAATAAATATGCATGAATAAATTCGTAAAATTCAAATAGAGGTCACAAAATAATAAAATTTAATAAATCGAAGCAAAGTTCATATCTTTTATAAGACCAATTTTTTTCCTCTTTATTTTTTGTTAACACTTTTGTATTTATTTATTTTTCTAAAAACGTAAAGAGAGGAAGAAGAAAAGAAATTTCATTATAAATATTTTTTGACCAAAAAAAAAAGAAGAAAGGACTTAATGAAAATAAATGCACATGAATAAATTCGTAAAATTCAAAATAGAGGTCACAAAGTAATAAAATTTAATAAATCGAAACAAAGTTCACATCTTATACTAATTTCTCTGCATGTGTATTTTGTATTTTGTATTTTTACAATTTATATGTACGTATATTTCATATTTTTTTAATGATACGATATATCCAAAAATAAGTATAAACTTTTGTATTTACTTACATAGTTGAAAATGATTTTATTGAGTTATAAATCGTAAAGCATGTTTGATCAAGGTGTTAATATAAGCATCCATGTTTATAAACCCTAACCCAACATAGATTTTTGTTCATTCTCTTCTTTTTGTTTTTGAACAAATTAAACTAGTTGACTCCTTTCTATATTAGAGATTTGTTCCATGCCCCCCTTTAAATTTATAACTTTTTGTGTGGATGAATGAACATGGTAAAAATATTCAAACCTAATTCCCCACATTAAGGTTCACAATCTTAATCATTCATCACGCTAAATATGGTATCAACTAAATAATTGGAATTCCAAACAACATGATTTGCTATCAATTTTTATAACTGTAATGGTACATATGTGCGATCGCAACCCTAATTATACAATAAAAGGTCTCTCTCTCTCTCTCTCTCTCTCTCTCTCTCTATATATATATATATATATATATATATATATATATATTTCAGCAAGTAATTAATTTAAGTTCTTAGCTGAAAATAGCTATATATGAAATCTAATTCTATTAAAAGCAGCCAACAAGTGAGCATCATAAAGAGAAAATTATGAAATTCGAAAATCTGAGTCTGTAAAAGGTAAAATTACACTTAGTTTTTTCAAAATGAAATTTATCAATGAGAAACCATAATTCCCTTTTTATCCCAACAAGTTTGACAGAACCTCATCTCAGGAAGGAATTCCGTGATAATCGAACGCATCAATTGATCATCTTGAACAATAGCTTCTATATCGCTTATGAAATTTCTGTGCGCTACTACTTTGCCCACCTGTGAATATATAATTTGTATGACAAGTCTAAGATTTAAAAATCGAAATTTTCACCATATATATATATATATATATATATATATATACTATATATATATATATATATATATATATATATATATAGTAAATTACCTCATAGGAGTTATGCAAACTTTTCAACTCCAACTTTTTTGTTAGAGGAAGGAAATTAGGTAGCTTGAACAGTAATCTACACCATCGGTCCTCAGTATGAGCACCACAATTTTGCTGGCCTGTATTTATATTTGAGTATTACGAAAGTAATTGAAACTAATGAATAACAAAAATGAGCGATGCTTACCTGGCATATGATGATCAAGTTTATAACTGACTATACATTCGGGTAGAATGTGAGTTTTCATATTGTGATACCACACCACATACAACTTTGGATTGTTCAAATCATCAATCCCGGTATCAAAATTATCCAAATTCGATGAAAACAACTGCTGAGATCCGAGTTCAACCTTTTCAGGATTTCCCAATATGACTCGACATAGAATCATATGTTTTTCACCATTTTCATCTACATCGGACATCATTTCACTACAGGAGTAACAAAAAATAATTAATGTTCCAACATTTTCAAAAAATAAAGAAAACATAAAAAAAATAACCAACCCACCTTATTTGAGGCGACTCTAAAGGCGACAAGTATATGCCAATACCACGATGACCTTGTTCAAGTCTAGTTAATTCAAATCCACGATGCATTATGGCGTCCACATTCTTGGACGATGTACCATACCAAGCAAGTACAACTTTAGGGTTCCCTCTTGCCTTCGTTACCATCTCCACATTGTCTTTAAAAACTTGTTCCCTAACACCGCTTAGCATACACTGATGAACGCCAGTTATTGTAACCCCTGAACGAGAAGACAACAGGTAACCCGGTATCCTCTTCCCTCATTGACCTTGTCCTAGCCCATTTAGGTGGAGCCGATTCAGTAGGGTTAGCAAAAACAAGCTGCGATGAACTGCCTACTTCGGTTCCCCTCTTTTCAATCATAGGATTCTCATTTTCTGAATCGTCAATGAAGATTTTAGGGATAAAATTGTTTCCATTGACATCAATCCAAGAGATTGGTAGTTCGTTCCCAGTGTCCAAATCTATCCCAAACATGCGATAAAAATCAATCAATAATTTAAATCCAGCTCCCATTTCCACCTCAATCATAGCCTTACCACTCACGAAAGCTGAAATGAGCACATCCATCGCATGTTTTTCGAAATCCATCCACGACCCGTCCTTATACATCTTGAAACTCAATGGTTTACCACTCTCTTTGAAGTTGTGGCGATTCTGATACAGTAACTGAGCATGATCAGGTCACCTACCCAACGGAAGTACCTCATTTCTCAATTTTAACTTTCCATCCTTGATGTTTCCACTAACAATCGTTGTTTTACACATCATCTCTTCTAGTGATATAATAGCTTAATTTAGCAGAAGAAAAATCAATAGCCTAAATGTTTTATGGAAAGGATATTTCAGCTAGTAGAAAATGTGACTTGTGAGAAGTGTGACTGCTCATTATATATTCACATAAATCTAATTAGTCAAAAAAGGAGTTAATTACTTAGATACATATCAATTTGTAATAGTAATGCTCTAATTATGTTTTTATACGTCTAGATACAATCAGATATGTCCAAATACATAAAGAAAAATATATGAAATCCTAATAGATTCACATGTATATGAAGTCTCCCTTTTTTACAGCTCACATATATCTCAAAAATGACGATCGTACCCTTGATTTTAGGGTGTAAGGTTTGTTTATAAAAGGATATTTCAGGTAATATAGAAATATATGAATACATAAGGAATCTTAGCTCGCCTCTTTTACAACTCACATGTATCTCAGAAATGACGATCATACCCTTGATTTTAGGGTGTAAGGTTTGTTTATAAAAGGATATTTCAGGTAGTATAGAAATGTAAGTGTGAAAAGTGTGACTAATTATATTTAGATTACCAGAATTCATATTAATAATAAAATAAAAATTATATTTATACGAGGATTTTTAATTTCTTACAATATCTATTTTTTATTCCAGTGGAGATTTTAGGAATAAATTTTGACAATATGGTCAAATTAACAATCGCTGTTCCTCATCATCTGTGATGATTTATATAATAGCTTAATTTATCTGAAAAAGAATCAAAAGAGAAGTTGTCTATTTATACTACTAGTTAAGACATTATGACGATCATATCCTTGATTTTAGAGGGCGTAAATGTTTTATGGAAAGGATGTTTCGGGTAGTATTAAAATGTTACTGTTGACTATATTCACATAAATCTAAATAGTCAAAGGAGTTAATTACTTAGATACATATTAATTTGCAACATTACAGTTTTTATGCGTCTAGATACATTCAGAATGTCTACTATATGAATACATAACAAATATCGCTCACCTCTTTCCCATACCACATGTATCTCAAAAATAACGATCATGCCCTTGATTTTAGGGTGTAAGGTTTGTTTATAGAAGAATAATTTCAGGTATATAAAAATGTAACTCTGACTTACTAATTATACTTAGATTACCATAATTCATATTATTAATAAAATTATATCTATACAAGCATTTGAATTTCTTACAATTTTCTCTAATTTTTATTAAATTTTGACAATATGGTAAAATTTAATATTTTATTGTTATAAAAATATTTAATATTGTCCTAAATTCTATGTTTTACTGTCGCTTCGTATATGTATATTATTTTTTTTGGTTAATTGATCATCAGTTGACACTTTTGCTCCCATATTATATTTTTCTTTAATATATGTCCCTCGCAATAATTATTTGTTTATGGTTTGCAAGTTTATATTTTAGTATCATAATATTTTATCAATTATTTGTTGTGAATTATTTTTCAACTTACATTAATTCATTATCAAATCTGTCAAGTAAATAGGATTAGCCAAATTAGTTTCACCTTTATCAAAGATTTATCCCTCTTTTGAAAGTTCTTGTGTTCTTCATTCATCAAGTGAGTGTGGATTCGATCCCAACAGATTCCACGTCATAGATAACGTCTAGGCTTAGTTGAAACGTTTTAATAAATATCGATCAACTACATCATGTATCACTAGTTTACACTTTTGTCCCTATCTTATTCGTCTTTAATACATGTCTCTCATAATAATTATTTCTTCATGGTGTGTAAATTTATATTTTAGTATAATATCATAATGTTTCATCAATTATTTGTTTTTAATTGTTTTTCAACTTAGTTAATTCGTTATCGAATCTGCCAACTTAGTTTCACTTTTATCAACAGTTTACTGTTTATTTTCTTTTTAACCCTAATTTATCAGTGAGTGCCTTCACTTTATGCTACATTTCAAATACATCTTTCATAATTATATTTCGCGCGTGCGCGCGCGCGCGCACACACACGAACATACACACACAGAGAGCACGCACGCACGCACACAGAGACATACGTTAATTATATAGAAGTATGATGGAGTGAACGACCAAGGGTATACTGGTCATTTCACCATAATAAAAATACTCCACATAGATCAAGAAAAAACACACATAGATATATATATGTTAATTATATAGAAGCATGATGGAGTGAAAGACCAAGGGTATACTGGTCATTTCACCATAATAAAAATACTCCACATAGATCAGGAAAAAACCATTTCTGAACTTCCAAACATAATTTCTTGGCACCTTCAAGTTGATTTTTGTAGGTTTATTGTCTTCTCAAAAAGATCTTCCAAATTGGGTAAGTCATTCTCCATTTTTGTCTTCTTCTGCAAAACAAAACAGAGAACTCCTTCAATTCTCCTTCGTAAAACTTTCAAGAAAACTTTTAGTTCTCTTTTAGGATCCTCTCTCAATTTTTGCTCAAATCTGCTACTTTTTTATGCTTCTATAGTTTGCAAAAAGTAAAATGTTAATTACGTCGTCACATAGTTAAGACCGACTCAGTATAAATGTTCCACAAACGAAGAACTTTCATCTTCTCATATGTTGCGATTCCAGGTCAGCTCTCTCAATCTTTGCCCTTATAGTTCTCAGTCTCAAAGTTTTTTTTAAAAAAATATTCTTTCCGCTCTCATCCTTTTCGCTGTTGGGTACTCCAAATCAATAAAGATTCTGATTAAACTATCAATTAATGTAAGTATTCATGGCATTGGATATATTCCTTTGTCCTCTTGAATTTCATAGAGCATATTTTCTGTTTTACTGCTACTAACTCTAGAATGTATGAAAAGCAGACAGAGTCGGGTCTTATTTTCTTGAATTTGCTGGTAGAAAAATTAGAGTGCCTGGGAGAACTTGCTCGGACGTGCATATCATTTTTTTCATAGCCTTGAGATTGCAATAGTTCTGTTTCGTGATTAATTAATGTTCAAAGAACTTGGCCTATTTTGTGTTAGATATCTACACTAACAACAAACCTTTGAAAAATTAAATATAAAACCCACAGACAACACCCAAATATATACACAAACATACTCATTGACCTTTTCCCCAATACCTTACAATTGAGATAAATAATTAGTATAAATAACTGGTGTACTATTTATTGTAGCCATATCAAATTTGAAACTCTTTGTGTATGTCGTACTTGCAAGCTAGCAATATCTTTTGATGATATATTATCCTAAATTACCCCTACATTTATATTGTTTGCTATTGGAAGTCACTAGGAACAAAATATTAACATAATACTATCATCTGCTACAAGAAACTGATGTCACAAGACATAAATTGGAGGATTTAAACACGAGAAAACTAAGATTACTAGCTGAAATTCAGTAAGTTTGTTAAACTTTATCCAAAGGGTTTCATATACTTGACATTATTTTTTAAAAACATTCTTGAATTTAATATTTTGACTTAGACTTCAAAATAATGTATCTTGGATAATGGATTATGGAACTAAGGGAAAAAAATTATGTTGGTCATTGTTTTGGAGTTTTATGTTATTTTTCATTCTTCATTGATTTAAAGATATAACCACTATTCTTTGCATGTCCGTTTTCTCGAAATGCTTGTAGACTTTCTTTTCTATCCCCCCTTCTTGTAATAGAGATTAAACTTTTTAATTATGTGTTCACAAAGAGGGGTCAACAATGAATATTTATGAAGAATGTGGTGCGAGCTTTTATAAGTTTGCTCATTTGAAGCAGTATATACAAAGTCATGGAGTTGTGGTGTCTTGTGTGTGCTTGTTGTTGCATATTTCTATTGTTTGTGTTGTTATCATGCCCGTTACTTATCTAAAAGTAAATCTTCATATTTCTGATTTATTATTTTTGTGTGCATATAACACTAATGAATTTAAATATTGAATTAATGTCATATATCGTGAAAGTATGTGAAGGTGTAACACATTGAACCACCAAGGGGGAGCTCCAGATAAGTTCTATCAAAAGTGAGCCACAATCACACCTTTTAACCTTGGTGGCTTGAGACTCTATGTGGTTCCCTTCCTCCTCGAAAATAAATGTAACTTTTCTTTTTTTTATTAACATACAAATACTTTGGTCTAAGACCTCCATGGATTAGAACATTTTAACAGTATTTTACCCTTGATATTTTCCATAAACAAAGGTCATTTGTATGTAATGACTGTCAGTCAAATGATCTTAAATAGGATCACTTGACAATTCGTCTCTTGTAGCACCAAGAGAAATTATTTGAGTGTACACTATATTGCGTGTGAAATATGTGGATCCAAGCAATATAAGAAGAAAATATTTAGCGGGATAAAAATGAGTATACTGTTTTTGAGTCAGTTATGCAGAAAAGGAT